CATTAGTAATGTCCTTATTAGCATGGAATGTGAGGGGGTTAAATAAAAGGTATAGACAAATGGAAATAGCTACATACCTTAGAGAGAATAAAGTAAATTTAGTAGGATTAGTGGAAACAAGAGTAAAGGAACATAAAGTAGGCAGCATTAGCAACAAAATTGCTCCTGGATGGGGGTTTGAAGCTAACTATGCACATGCAGTTAATGGGAGAATCTGAATCCTTTTGGGATAGTAATATAAACCAGATTAAGATTATACAACAAGAAGCACAACTTCTACATTGTAATATGGTTAGAAGGAATAAAGTCATTGATTATGATATGGCAGCGGTGTATGGACTCAATACACTAGAACAGAGGAAGGAATTATGGCAGAAGCTTATAAGAATCTCACAAAATGTCTCCAAACCATAACTTATCTGGGGAGATTTCAATTCTATATCATGTCCACATGATAGACTACATGGTGCAGTAGTAACTAGTATGGAGATAAGGGATTTTGCTGAATGTATTGAAACACTGATGCTAAATGAGTTACCATGGAAGGGAGACTATTATACTTGGACAAATAGACAATAAGCGGGTGATAGAATCTGGAGTAGAATTGACAGAGTTATGCGGAATGTAGACGGGATGATGCAGTTTGGACACTTAACTACTGAGTACAAACTGCCTCATATCTCAGATCATAGTCCTACGCTGATAACTACTAACCTGAGGGAGCCAAGGATCAAACCACCATTTAAGTTCTTCAATGTTTGGACAACACATGAAAACTTTCTTAAGCTAGTGGAGGAATGTTGGACACAGAGTTTGCACCTGGAAAAAATGAGAAACATCTGGCTTAAAGAGAAAGACCTTAGGGGAAAATTTAAGATTCTAAATGAAAGTGAATTCAAGGGTGCTGTAATGAGAATTAAACAAGCTAGAGATGACCTGTAAGAGATCCAGACAAAGATGAGTATGCAATATACAGATACACTTGACTTAGAAGAGAATAATATAATCTGTCAACTTGAAAAGTGGTCCATGATTGAAGAAAGTGTTATGCAAAAAAAGGCTAGGGCAATGTGGATAAAGCTTGAAGACTCTAACACTAACTATTTTTCAGTTATTATGGGAGACAAAAAACAGAAGAAACAAATCACAGAGATTGACTCTCCAGATGGAAGGAGGCTGGTTGAAGCAGTAGATATAAAGGAGGAAATTACTTAGTTCTAACTATATCCCCGCGAGCCAAGTGGAGCATGCATGAAGTAGTCAGATGCTTCTTCTATTCTTTTCCCTGACGTAGCCGGGCCATCCTGGATTTGAACCAGAGACCTCGCCCATGAATTAAATAATCGCACCTACGGTCCAACCAATTGGGAGAGAAACAATAGATTCCTTTTCAAGAGTGATTCATCCTTCACGAATGCAGCATATAACTCTCCATTGTACTGCGCTCTCCAGTTGTTCTTATCAGTCACTCATTGGGACAACATTACCCGGTGTGGCAACAGTAAATAGAAAGACTATGAGAAGAGGTGAAACCCTTAACCACGCCCAGCAACTAAATTTATGTGAAACAGTAATAGAGAAGTAAACCTATAAAGGATTATGCTCGATAGGAGATAACAAAGCACCAGGGGTGGATGGATATAATGCAGTATTATACAAAAATGCATGGTCAATCATTAAGCATGAAGTAATAGAAGTAGTAAAGGAGTTCTTCACAACAGGTACACTGTTTATAGGCATCAATTGTACATTAGTTACTTTGATTCCATAGGTAGCCAAGCCTACTACAATCAAATAGTAGAGGCCCATTGCCTCTTATACTTTTCTCTATAAAATCATAGCTAAAATCTTGGCAGGAAGAATACAAAAGGTTATTGCTAACATCATCACAAAAACTCAAGTTGGATTCATTTATGGGAGAAAGGTAGCAGACAATGTGATCTTGGCACATGAACTGATAAAGGCATACACAAGGAAATATATCTCACCTAGATGTATGATCAATGTGGATATTCAAAAAAGCCTATGACACTGTGAATTGGAATTTTTTAAATCAGATGGTGGAAGAGGTGTAATTCCCTCAAAAATTTCTTAGATGGGTGATGGAATGTGTTTCAACAGTCAACTACTCTATAGTAATCAATGGAGAGCAAACTAAACCATTTGATGCTGCAAGAGGACTCAGACAAGGGGATCCAAAAATCACCCTTTTTGTTTGCTATAGTCATGGAGTACTTAAGCAGAAACCTTAGTAAGTTAATGGGTGAGAAGAAATTTAAATATCATCTTAAGTGCTCAAAAATGAATATCACTCAATTGAGTTTTGTAGATGAATTGCTAACGCTTTCCGAAGGAGATATTACTTCTGTAGGTTTACTGCATAAAAGGTTTGGCAACTTCACAGCTGCCTCAGGCTTACAAGCTAACCTGTTATAAAGTGCTATATATTTTGGTGGAGTCGCAGAACCTATCAAACATGATATCCAACAACTGTTGGGATATGGGCTAGGGGAATTACCTTTTAGGTACTTAGGGATTCCATTGGCTACAAGAAAACTGAAGCTAGTTGAATTGTAACCCTTAATCACCAAGATTACTGCAAGGTTGTCTTCATGGGTAGCAAGGAAGTTGTCATATGCTGGCCGAGTTCAATTGGTGAAATCAGTTCTATTTTGAGTTTAATCTTACTGGGCTCAGTTGTTCATAATACCTGTTAAGGTGATGAAGGCCATAGAAGCTTACTGCATAATCTATATTTGGTCTGGAGCAAATGAAATTACTAGAAAGTCATTGATTTCCTGGAGTAAAATGTGTGTGCCAAAATCAGCCGGAGGCCTAAACCTCACAAATTTGAAGATCCGGAACAAAGCAACTATAACAAAAACTTATTGGGAATTACATAGTAAAAACGATACCTTTTGGATCAAATGGATACCTAGGTATTACATAAAGGGGAAGCAATTAGTGAATATGCCTATTCCTCAACAAGCAAGCTAGATGGTAAGGAAAATATTCAAGGCAAGAGAGGAGTTGAGTCTTGTGAACATGATTCATCAGGCAACAGGAGCATGATTAAGAGTATCTACTTGAAAATGCTTGGGGGAATTAAGAAATGTTACTTGTAAGAATCTAATGTGTATGAATGCAGTAAGACCAAAAGCAGTTTTCATAACAGGTCTCTAACTTCAAGATAGATTACTCACAACAACAATGCTGAAAAACTAGGGAATGTAGATAGATACAAGGTGTAAAATGTACAAACTAGCAGAGGAGAGCATGGATCACTTATTTGTTGAATGTGAAGTTAGCAGACGAGTGTGGAGCAAGCTAATGACTTGGATACAAATTTCTTGGCCAACAATGGCTTCATGGGATCACATGCAAAACAAGATAGAGCAAAGTACAAGAGGAAAGACAAAACAAGCAATAATTGTGAAGATGATATATACAGAGTTCATTTATGCAATATGGATTGAACGAAATAACATAATTTTCGTACAAAAAGAGAGTTCAAGTTATGTTATAGCTAGAGAAATAGCTTATACCTGTCATGTTCGAGTTGCTATTAATTTTAGGATGTCTCTTCAGAATTTTAGATTTCCTATCTGGGGTGTACAAGATAGTCTCCATCGGTGAGTTTCTTTTGTTTGATATATGATCAGCTGACTGAGTTTTAAAGTCTAGATAGATTTGTAAATATCTTACTTGGAAATTATTGAAAGTTGATAGTTACCAAAAAAACTTGCATGATGTGTTTTGATGTTCTATTCATGGTTTTGTATGTTATTTTAATGTTTCGAACTTGCAAGTGAGTTTGTATGAGGTTTACGCACTTGTATGGATGTTTGGTGTGGGACGAGGGACTCGAGGGAGTTTCGGATTGACTTCAGAGTGTTTTGGTGAAGCTTCAGAGTGACTTGAACCTTGTCACTACTTCACTGTGTTTAGTCTCGATATTTTTTGGGTATCAATCGTAGTGTACTCATACTAGACTTCTATATATTTTTGTACAGATCTAGGTGTTGGAGGCAACAGATCTTGAGATCGAAAGCTCGCATCGGTCGTGAGGATTCAAAGTAGAGCTGTATGTTGTCACAGTCTCTTGGTGTCTCATCCTTTATATTGATACTATTAAATTTACCTTCGAACATTATTATTTTTTTAATATTCCACATGCAGTCACTTAGAGCTCAAGACTATGTGTTACCTAGATCTGGCAAGATGTATTGAGTGTTTCCATTTTAGCTTGTATTGACTCTATTTTCGCTTTTATATTAAATTATGTCTTATTATATCATGTTTTATTGATTTAAATTTGTTAAGTAATAGACTTACCTAATCTTAGAAATTAGGTGTCATCACAACCCCTATAGTGGGATTTGGGTCTTGACACATAACCACCGAACAGACAATTCACGTGTTTAACAATCCAGTCCATCACACAGAACCATATACAATAATGCATGCATACCATCAACGATTATGTCACTACCCAAAATCTCAATCACGGGACCGTGATGGTGTCTAACATCCGCTTGATAGGAACGCCAACATTAGCTAAAACATTAATCAGTTTAATAATTTTAAAATTAAATCATTAATAAAATACGATAAAAATACTCTAAATATATAATAGAATCCATAAAACATCGCTGCCTAGTCTAATCCCAAAAACTGGTGTCACAAAATGCATGAGCTGCTAGAATACTACAAATTGAATACTAATGCAAATACTTGAAAATAACTAAAATTTTGAGGGCTTTTTTATTTTCGCAAAACATATTATTTCTGTAAATTTGGAAAATTTGGCAATGAGCTTGTGTAGAGTCGTGAACGTGGCAAAGTCATTTATACTCGCTTCTAATGAACCCACTACATCTTTCCCCAAAAATCTAAATCTCCAATTTTATCCATATTCAAGGCTTTACTAACTAACATCACTACCCATTTCTATGCCTGGTAAGTAATATTTCACTATAAGTTTTAAATTAGACTTAGTGTCAAACTGTAAAATCTTAACTTTTTTTTCCAGTCAAAGGGAAAACAAATAGGAAAAACATGAAACGAAATAAGAAAAAAAGCAAAGGACAACTTACAGTCTAAAAGTAGCCAGGAATTTTCTAACACATCCATTATTCCATCATCCTAAACCGTGAAAGTAGCCAGGAATTTTCATATGTAAATAAGAAAGATAAACTGTTCATTAAGAATTAAACTCATGCATCAGCATATTATAGTATAAATTGAAGTAGAATACTACTAATTGAATTCAAAAGTTGATTCTAGATTAGATCCTCGAGAATAACTTTGTCCCCAAAATGCACGACCTGCAAGTTTATTCATATAGATTACCATATAATACAAACAAAATCAAAATGCACCAACTAAACCCCCAATTTTACAAACTAGAAACCACAATTTATCATATATACAAATAAAGAACAAAAGTAAATTAATGGGTTTATCAGACATGTTACCAAAGAAAGAAAACAGAAGAAGAAGATTTTTCAGCGAAACATTAGCGAACATCGAACAACCATAGAAAATATCAAACATGTCTAAGATGTAAGCAAATCTAAATGATATCATAAAGAATGAACCTTAGACCAAAATGCTTTGCAAAAGATATCAAATTCCAAGTAACAAGCAAATAAAAAATAAAAACGAAAATCAAATCCTAAAAAAATTTCAAAAGTTCGCATTTCACCTGGTGTTGCTTAGAGATGATAGCAAAGAAATAGATTATGATCGGATATGAAATTTGAAAAAAATGCAGATTAGAATAAAGCAGAAGATAGAGTTAAGTAAGTTGTAACCTAATCAGTTGAAGTAGAAAGAACAGAATTTACCGTATTGAATTCACTGAAGGAACAACAGGGATGAGAGCGAAAGAGTCAAGTGAGAGTACTCACTTGACTGAGATTCCGCTGTATCATCTGAAATAGTTTTCCTTCGTTGGAAGTAGTATTCTTCATTGGAGCATACCGCACAGTTTTGCCGATGGCGATTTTTTCTACATTAGAGATGGTTTTGAGACTTGAGAGAAATAAGGTTCTGAAGCTTGAAAGAGAAACGAACCGCAATGGGACTAAACGAACCGCAAGCACATAACATGTCCTCCAAGATATGAGTGGTGTTCTCGGACTATTCGTCCGTATGAGGATGAAATATTGTGTTCGGCTCAACCCGTGTGCCAACTCACATTGCACGACTCTCCAAATATGCGATATGAATTGTGTGCCCCGATAAAAAATGAGGTAAATAGGCATGTAGTGCAGGTGGATAATCTCCTGAAGGTAAATATGAGCTAACATCTCTGAAGAATAGGTGGCCACCACCAGAATGAAGTGCGCGGACTTAGTCAACCGGTCCCCAATAACCTAGACTGCATCATACTTCTTCAAGGTCCATGGCTAGCTAACCCCAAAGTCTATAGTGATGCTTTTACACTTCCACTCTGGTATCTCTAATCTCTGAGTCAGTTCACCTGGTTTCTGATGTTCATATATCACCTGTTGACAATTCAAGCACCGAGATACATAAGTAAATATGTCTTTCTTCATTCTGCGCCACCAATAGTGTTGTTTCAAGTCATAGTACATCTTCGTAACACCTGGGTGAATAGAATAGCGCGAACTGTGCGCCTCTTCAAGGATCAAATCTCTCAACCCATTAACATTTGGAACATAAATTTTTCCTTGTAGCCGTATAACACCATCTTCTCCAATCACAACATCCTTGGTACCACCCTGCTGCACCATATCCTTCAACAACAGCGAGTATCATCAAACTGGCGAGCCTTGATACGCTCCAATAATGAAGACTTTTCTACAACACAAGCAAGAACACAGCTAAGCTCCGAAACATCTAATCTCATAAACCGGTTGGCTAATGCCTGAATATCCATGGCTAGTAGCCTCTCAACTACTGGTAAATATGCCAAACTAACCATACTCTCGGCCACTACATTGGCTTTCCCTTGATGATATCATATAGTGATATCATAGTCGCTTAGCAACTTTAACCATCTCTACTACGACAAATTAAGGTCTTTCTACTTAAACATGTGTTGAGAGTCTGACGTATGGATAGTGCCTCCAAATCTTCAGTGTGTGAACAATGGCTGTCAACTCTAAGTCATGAACAAGGTAAGTCTTCTCATGAACCTTTAACTACCAAGACGTGTAAGTAATCACCCTACCATCCTACATCAACATTTCACCAAGACCAATAAGCGATGTATCATAATACACAGTGTAAGATCTTGAACCTGTAGGCAACACCAACATTAGGGCTGTAGTTAAAGCAATCTTGAGCTTTTAAAAGCTCAACTCACACTCATCGGACCACCTGAAAAGTACACCCTTTTGGGTCTACTTGGGCAGTGGGGATGAGATAGATGAAAATCCCTCTATGAACCGGCGATAATACCCTGCCAAACCCTAGAAGCTCCGAATCTCTGTAGCTGAAGTAGGTCTAGGCCAGTTCTAAAATGCCTCAATCTTCTTAGGATCCAATTTAATTCCCTCGGAGGATACAACATGGCCCAAAAAGGCAACCGAGTCCAACCAGAACTCACACTTTGAAAACTTGGCATATAACTGACTATCCCTCAAGGTCTGAAGTAAAACCGAAAGATGCCGCTCATGCTCCCCTCGAATACGAGAGTAAACCAAAATATCATCAATAAAAACGATCACAAAAGAATCCAACCTGGGCTTGAACACACGGTTCATCAAATCCATTAATGTCGATGGGGCATTTGTCAAGCTAAATAACATCACTAAGAACTCATAGTGACGATATCGAGTCAGAAAAGTTTTCTTAGGGGCATCTGATTTCCTAATCTTTAACTGATGGTAGCCAAATCTCAAATCAATCTTCGAAAGCACTTTGGAATCCTGAAGCTAATCAATAAAGTCACCAATCCTCTGCAAAGGATACGTGTTCTTGATAGTGACTTCGTTCAACTGCCGATAATCTATGTATATCCTCATCGAACCATCCTTTTTCATCACGAACAACACTAGATCACCCCAAGGTGAGACACTAGATCTAATGAATCCCTTATCAAGAAAATCCTACAATTACTCCTTCAATTCCTTCAACTCAACTGGGGCTATACGGTATGGTGGAATATAAATGGGATGAGTACCCGGAGCCAAGTCAATACAGAAGTCGATATCTCTATCGGGTGGCATCGTCGACAAATCTATAGGAAATACCTCTGGAAACTTGCGCACAACTAGTACTGAATCCATGGAAGGAACCTCGGCACTAGGATGACGGATATAGGCCAAATATGCTAGACAACCCTTCTCGACCATAAGCTGAGCCTTCACATAAGAAATAATCCTACCAGTAGAATGGCCAGGAGTCCCTCTCCATACTAATTGAGGCAACCCCAGCATAGCTAATGTCACTGTCTTTGTGTGACAATCCAAAATAGAGAGATAAGGTGACATCCAATCCACACCCAAGATATCATCAAAGTTTACTATATCACGAAGTAGAAGGTCTACCCTAGTCTCATAGCTCCCTATTGAAACCACACACAAGCGATATACACGATCTACAATAATAGAATCTCCCATAGGCGTGGACACATCGACATGAGCACTCAAAGAATCACGAGGCATAACTAGATATGAAGAAAAATAGGATGACACGTATGAATAAGTAGAGACCGGATCAAATAGAACTGAGGCACCTCTATTGCAAACCGGAACAATACTTGTGATGATGGCGTCAGATGACTCTCCCTCGGGTCTGGTTGGTAATGCATAAAGACGGGGCTGAGACCTACCACTGTGACCTCCCCCCCTCGGGCAACCTCTTATTGGCTGGCCTCCACCTCTAATGGCCTAACCACCACTTCTAGATAACTAACCTCCACCTCTAGCAGCCTGACCCCCGCCTCTAGCTGGTTGAGCAGGCGGTGAAGCAGTCGGTGCTGGAACCATGGCACGAGAACTCTATTGTGGCATGTCACCCTATGACCTAGGGCAAATCCTCGCGATGTGCCTCAGATCTCCACATGCATAACAAGCCCTTGGCTGATGTGGCTGCTAAAGTTGGGACAGACCCTGAAGGCCCAGATACTCACTGTGATAGCTAACTACTCCGGATGATACCCATATGAACTATGACTATCTGAAGCACCGTGGGATGCCTAGAGAGAAGACTGAATCACCCTGGGAGGATGGCCGCTATTGAAGAACCTCTACCTTTAGAGGAGGCACCACTGAAGCCATCAAAATAATGAGTCCTCTTATCAGACACCGTCTCTCTACCCTGACTACAAATTATCTCGATCCGTCTAGCAATCTCTACGGCCCTCTGGAAAGAAATATCATTCCCAGTCTCTTTGGCCATTTGTAGTGTAACGGCCTGGCCGGTTATTTTGAGATCTAGCATATCGTTCGATGGTTTGAGAACTTGAGTAACTTCACTCTATGTATTATGACTTGCACATGTAGTCTCGGGAAGATCGGGGTTGGTTTGGAAGAATAATTCTCAATTTGGAAGATTTAAGTTGGAAGAGTTGACCTCGTTTGGGTTTTCAAAAAGTGATCTTGGATCGGCCTTTTAACGGTTCCGTTATATCCGGATAGTGATTTTTGACTTAGGCGCATGTTCGGATTTGTATTTGGAGGTCCGAAGGTTGATTTGATACTTTTTGGAAAAAGTTAGAAGATTAATGTTTTGAAAGGTTGAAAGGTTTGACCGAGAGTTGACATTATTGATATCGGGTTCGGATTGTAGTTACGGGAGTTGGTATAGGTCTGTTGTATCATTTGGGACTTGCATGCAAAATTTGAGGTTATTCCAGATTGATTTAGCATAGTTCGGCGTGAGTTTTAGAAATTTAAAAGTACATTAGTTCACTAGGCTTGAATTGATGTACAATTAATAGTTTTGATGTACAATTAGTAGGTTTGCGTATATTTTGGGACTGGTTGGTATGATTGGACGGGGTCCTGGGGGCCTCGTGTGTATTTTAGATGGGTTTGGGTTGTGTCGCGCTCTTATTTGATATTTTCGTATCGTTTCTTTCGGCATAAAGGGTACGATATTGAGAAAAAACATTTTATTTTTTTATTATATTGAACCATTAGATTCGAATCGTAATTATGTAACCATGTGAACAAGAATCGTCGAATTTTGAGGTCGAATGAGAGAGTTATGCACATTTTCGTGTAAGCAAAGATTGCTGGTTTCTGGTACGAACTATTGCTCTTCGCGAACGCGAAGGTGTCCCGCAAAGGCAAAGAACAAAAATCACCTGGGCAGTGTTTTAAATAGGCAGACCGAGCATTTTAGTATTTTGAGCATATCTTGAGTTCTAGAGCTCCATTTGAGGTAATATTTACGGCGTAGTTCTCGTCTCAATAAGGGGGAAAATATCTAACCTTTCTTTTGATGTTTTCCCATGATTATTTCTGTTGGTTATTATTTTTATCCTTATTTGGATTCCAGAAATTGAGATTTTGTGCCTCAACGTTGACAAATTGTAAATCCTTCATTTGGGGTTCAATTCATGGATGAAATTCTATGATTTTCTTGATATAGACTATATAAGTTATGGGTAATATTTATTGTTGATAATTTTTTTAATTCGGGCCAGGGGCCCGGAGTTGACTTATGTTGATTTTTCGTGCGGGGTTGAGAATTGATTCTAAATGATATATTATAGGTTCTTGGATATGTTTTGATTGATTTTCATGTTCTTTGAATTAGTTCGTTTGGCATTGGTTAGAGGATTTAGAGAGGCGTCGGAGCCGGTTATCGGATTTCGGAGTGAGGTAAATCTCATGTCTAATCTTGTGAGGGAAAATTTACCCTGTAGGTATTATTTTTGCTATGTGCTACATGTTGTGAGAGCTACGCTTGTATGAGGTGACGAGTGTCCGTGCAGATGCTAGAATTCATTATTAGGTCCCGGTTGACTTAGACTGACGCCATGCTTTAATTGAAATAATTAAGACATCCATACCTGTTTAAATGCTTTAAATTACATTTTGCCTGAGACTAATCTTTCGTAGATTATCTAACTTGCGACTTAGATATTTGGCGAGCTACTTGGTTAGTAGAGAGAATACATTTTCTTTTACGAATTTCTTCTGCGTTGTACATATTTGTCCGATAATTTTTGAATTTCATGACTCACACATATATTCGTGAATGGGGCCAGTGACCCATCAAGTCTTCACTAGTCCTATGGGATTGGGCTGAATGCCTCAGCATTATCATTATGTGATCGGGTCATTCGCCTTTGTAGTATTATGAGATGCATCTATGGTTCGCGTCGGTCGACCCTCAATAGTGTGCACGATTATGGATCGATCTAAACGAACTCATTAGGGATCGGGCCATATGCCACGGCAGGAACTTGTGCCATTACTCTTATGGAACCGGGCCGCTCGCCTCGGCAGAATTGTGTGTAATGCCTGATATGAAGTCAATGTACCCGTAAGTTTTTCTAACTAGAGATGTAACCGTTTATTTGGTGTTGAACATTATTTATTCCATTTAAGGTAGTATCCAGTTATTGATTACTTTGTGTTTATTCTCTTGTTGAGGACAATATTATGCATTTATATCTGTTTTGTTGTTTTTACTTGCTATGCTCCATCCCATGCCTACTTTTAGTATACAAACTTTATTGGACCACTAGTAAGTGGTAATGTCGATCCCTCATCACTACTTCTCTAGGGTTAGGCTAGATGCTTACTGGGTATGCATTGATTTACGTACCCATGCTTACACTTCTGCACTGACTGTGCAAGTAGTTTTGGTAGTCATTTGGGCGCATGAGCGCAACTGTTGAGGGGACTTTATGATGACTTGCATTCTATGTTACGATCCAGAGCACATGGAGACTCCATCATATTTATTTATGTTGTTATGTCTATTTTACATTCCATACATATGTTTTATTAGAATTGTACTTCCTTGTAGATGCTCATGCACTTGTGACATCGGATTTTGGGAATCTCTAGTAGATGTTATGGTTTTTCTAATGCTGTCTCCATTTTCTTTTATGTTTATTAATATTACATATATCCTTGATTTTCCAAGCATTGATTTTCATAATTTATAAGAGCCATGATTTTAAAAGTAATAAATTAAATAATTAAATGGATAGTTCACTGTTGGCTTGCCTAACGGCGACATTGGGAACCATCACGGCATATAGTGAGAATTGGGTCGTGACATGTAGCCGGATACTGAAAGTAAGTCCATCAATGAATCTCCTCACTCTCTCCCTCTCAGTAGGGAGTAAGATAACTGCATGGCGAGCTAGATCCACAAATCGGGTCTCATACTGGATAACGGTCATACTACCTTACTGAAGGCACTCAAAGTGCCTGTTGTACTCCTCTCTCATAGTGAAAGGAATAAACTTCTCCAGAAAAAGCTGCGAAAACTAATACCAAGTGAGGGATGGCGAACCTGCTGGTCTACCCCACTCATAATCCTACCACCACTTCTTTGTAGAATCGGTCAGGAACACTGCAAAGTCGACCCTATTGATCTCAAGAATACGCATGTTGCGTAGAACCTCATGGCAACGGTCCAAATAATCATGTGGGTCCTCAGAAGGTGCACCAGTAAAATGAATAGAGAAGAGCTTTGTAAACTTATCCAACCTCATCAATCACTCAGAAGACATCATGGGCCTCTCCCCGGTTGTGTAGAAATAATAGGCTGAACTATCCCAACTGGAAGAACTACTGGAGTATGATATATGGGAGCCATCTGCTCCGGAGTGTTAGTAGGGGAATTTTGGGCTCCTCCTCTAGCCTGAGAGACAGCTGGTGCCACCGAAAATGCACCGGTCTGGACCACGCTCTCCATGAGTCCCGCTAAGCGGACTAGAGCATCCTGAAGCAAGGAGTGGCTATAAATCCCTCTCGGACCTGAGCGGGTCCGACCGGTGTGGTCTTAATTGGGATCTCCTCCTCATAATCAATCTGAGGCTCCACAGTGCGTGCTGCTACATGAGCTCTAGGCTGAGTTGTGCCTCTGCCTCAGCCCCTACCTCGGCCCCGACCCTTACCCCTGGTAGTGGGTGCAATAGGGGGCTCTGGCTCTTGCCCGGCTATAGATGTTGTGCGTGTTCTCACCATATATGAGAGAACAAGAATGAATGATTCAAACATCAATGATAGAGTAAAATCGCACGATAGAGAAAGAAAGAAGTGAAATTTTCCCAAACCTCTATAGACTCTAGAAGATAAGTACAAATGTCTTTGTACTGATCCTCCAGACTCTTCTAAGCTTACTCATGACTCATGAGACGTAGGAAACCTAGTACAAACAAAATCAAAATGCACCTACTAAACCTTCAATTTTACAAACTAGAAACCACAATTTATCATATATACAAACAAAGAACAAAAGTAAATTAATGGGTTTATCAAAAATGTTACCACAAAAAAAAAAAAAGCAGAAGAAGAAGATTTTTCAGCGAAATAGTAGCGAACATCGAATAGCCAAAGAAAATATCAAACATGTCTAAGATGTTAGCAAATCTAAATGATATCATAAAGAATGAACCTTAGACCAAAATTCTTTGCAAAACATATCAAATTCCATGTAACAAGCAAACAAAAAATAAAATCGAAAATCAAATCGTAAAAATCTCCAAAAATTAGTATTTCACCTGGTGTTGCTTAGAGATGATAGCAAAGAAATAGATTATGATCGGATACGAAATACGAAAAAATGCAGATTAGAATAAAAGCAGAAGATAAAGTTAAGTAAATTAAAACCTAATCAGTTGAAGTAAAAAGAGTAGAATTTACCCTTTTGAATTCACTGAAGGAACAGCAGGGATGAGGGCAAAAGAGTCAAGTGAGAGTACTCTTAAAGTACCTACATATGAGATTCCGCTATATCATCTGAAATAGTTGTCCTTTGTCGGAAGTAGTATTATTCGTTGGAACAGACCGCACAGTTTCACCGATGGCGATTTTTTCTACGTTAGAGATGGTTCTGATACTTGAGAGAAATATAGTTTTGAAGCTTGAAAGAGAAACGAACCGCAATGGGACTAAACGAATGGCGATTATTTCTAGGTTAAATTGGTTTCTTAACATAAAAAATAAATTTAAAAAAATTATTAAAATGCTGGTAGGATCTTCTATTTTTTTAAATAAATATGTAGGAGACAAAGTAAGGAAGGAAAAATAAACTCTCAAAATATATACATTTATTTTACCAAACCGTTCCCATAAACAACCTTATTGTATCGCCTACATAAACCGTCTTCATAGCTTTATTTATGGTGACAGTACGGTCCTATTGGGACGTTTTTGCTTTAGAAGTGTCCCAAAAGTGTCACGACCCAGAATCCCACCCCCGGGACCGTGATGGTGCCTAATATTTCACTTGATAGGCAAGCCAATGTTAGCTAGATTACTTAACCAATTTTAAATAATTCAAAATAAAACATTAATAAAATAAACCAAAATAGTCTGAAATGGAATAATAAAATACATATGACGATATCTAAACATCTCCCAAAATTCGGAGTCACGAATATATAAGCAACTAGTGTACTACACATATGGTCTGAAGCAAATACAACTGTTTGAAACTAGATAAACAGTAGAATACATAAAGAATGGAACTTCAAAGATACCAACGTTGTGCAGCTATACCTCAAGTCTCCGAATGTAGCTGAATCCGAGCAGAACACCACTAGACGACGTTGGGATCAATACCAGTATCTGCACAAGAGGTGCAGAAATATAGCATGAGTACAACCGACCAATGTACTCCATAAGTGTCGAGCCTAATCTCGATAAGGTAGTGATGAGGCTATGAAAAGATACCTACATAAAATCATGTACATATATATACATAAAGCAACAAAATAACAAGTAAAACAATTAAAATATTAACTGGGAGGGGACATCCGATGGGTGAAATATCATCAGAACGGCAAGTGTGAAATCACCAAATAACATCTTTCCGAAATAAGCAACATTGTAACCAAGTAAGTCACCAATCCAGGAATCAAATAAGGCAATGAAATAAACAAAAATGGCACGTCATCACCTCTTTGCTTTTACTCTAGTCCTCACCTCCTTGCTTTTACTCTCATCCTCACCATGTAATATTATAAATAAAATGGTATGGCATTACCGTTCGTGCTTTTACTCTCAAACCTCACATGATATGATAAATGATGACAAGCAATCAAATGCACGATATCATCCTTCGTTCTTTAATCCTCACAACCTCTCAATAGATGATAACGTATATAAATAAGGCATAACAACATATTTCGTACTTTTCACTCTTCCTCACCAAGCAACAATACAAATCTGAATTAACAATGCAAGGCGGGAAGCAATTTCACTTCAATTATAGTGCCATGATAACAAACTCAACTTTCAGAATTCCCAACATCTTTGAAATAAACAACGAATACGAAATGAATAATTAAAGAAGTAATAACTAACTTTAGCATGGAAAACATAGTCAATGAAAATATCTAACACAAAGAAACAGTTTCCACCACATGCTTTAATCCAATGAAAATGCATATATACTCGTCTTCTCACATTACGTCGACACCACATATAATACACTTAGCAAATAGACCAACAAATCCTAATCCCTCAAATCAAGGTTAACCATGACACTTACCTTACTCCGCAACCAAATCAAGGCACATCCACTGCTTTTCCTTTAGAATTAACCTCCAAACCAATTAAATCTAGCCAAATATAGTTCAAATAATTCAAATTAGGCTTTAGAAACTACCCACGCGTGAAAAAGATTCAATCTTTAATATTTTTTGTAAATGTCAACAAAATTCAACCTCGGGCCCTCTTGGTTAAAACTTGATATTCGGACAAAAATCTAATTATCCATTCACTCCCGATCCCGGTTATGTGATTAGTTTTGAAATTTGACCTCAATTTGAGGTCTAAATTTCAATTTCTTAAAATTTTCAATTTCTACCTAGATCCCTAATTTATACCATAGAAAATCTTGGATTAAATGTTAAATCAATGGGTGTTAATGGAAATGTAATAAAAGAAGTTTAAATCTACTAAGCACTGAAGTTGGGATGAAAAACCTCCTCAAAATTGCCTCTAGGCCGAGCTCTAAGTTGAAAATGGGTAAAACAAATGGTGAAAATCATGATTTTGGAATGTTTAAATACTTGGGCGTGAGGTGCCCTTCGTGATCACGAAGCACCTAACGCGTTCGAGAAGAACACTGGCCAAATGGCCATCGCAATCGTGAACTCCTTCTCACATTCACAAAGAGATCCATAGCCCAACCTCCACGTTCGCAGCCAGTGTGTCGCGTTCGCGTAGAAGAATGCCCATGCCTACCCCCAGATGCCACAACCCATCGCGTTCGCGAGAGGATGGTCATGTTCGCGAGAGTATGGTCATGGTCGCGAAGGGTAAACCCTCCACTACTTCGCGGTCACTGGAAAGTCCCCGCGTTCGCGAAGAAAAAGTTCTGCCCCAACCCAACTTCCTCTCCGCGATCGCGAAGCACATCACACGAGACACCAGAAACTGCTGAAAATCAGCAATCTCTTAAGTCCAAAATGGTTTGTAGCCTATCTGACACTCACCCGATCCCTTCGGGCTCCAAATCAAGCATGCACACCAGTATCATAACATTATACGAACTCACTTGCATGCTCAAAACACCAGAATAACACTTAGAACTATGAATTGGACTCTAAAATGCTTGAAATTTCAAAGAACACTCAAGAACTTTGAAAATCACAAGCGAGCATCTGAATCCTATCAAACCAACTCCGATTTGCACCAATTTTTGCAAACAAGATTCAAATAGCAAAATAGACATATACCAAGTCCCGAGCCAAAATCTGAACCCGATAACCATAAAATCAACACACGGTAAAACTTAAGAAATCTCCAAACCGTCAAGTTACTAGCTTTCAGCAAAACAAGTCAAATTAACCTAGGGACCTTCAAATTGAATTCCTGGCATACACTCAAGTCCAAAATCACGATACGGACTCACCGAGATCGTCAAAATATCGATTCGGGGTTGTTTAAACAAAATGTTGACCGTAGTCAACTTAAGTTATTTTTAAAGCTAAAAATCATATTTTCTTCATAATTTTATGTTAAACCTTTTCAGAAAAAGACTCGGGATGCGCACACAAATCAAGAAATATCAAATGGAGCTAATAGAGGTCTCGAAATATGAAAATAAAGGTAAGTACTCAAAACGACCTATCAGGTCGTCATAAAAAGTCTTTTGACTCTATTAGGACGATTACAACCGTTCCAAAACATAATCTGTTGTAACAGTTGCGTAACCATTGCATAATAATTGTTCCAATAGAACCATTTTCTAGTAGTTACACTTTGGTACCAAGAACCAATACAACAATTCAACGATCTCAACACCTAATATCTCAATAAGCCTAACATAGGAAATAACATGAATACGAGAAATTAAGGAGTTATACATTCTATCTAAAGCATGGAAGACATAATACATAGAGTAATATAGCAAAATAAATCTAATTCTACTCGCTCTTATCCCATGGGTAACACATATACACTCGTCATACGCCGCCCCTAACACATATATCACATAAAAAATAGACACAATTATAACCTAATTACCTCAATAAAGGTTAACTAAGACACTTACCTCTTTCCAGAAGAAGATCAACAATCCAACACGGCTTTCCCTTTAGAATAAACCTCCAAACCACCCGAATCTAGTCAAATATTGTTCAAATAAGTCAAAACAAGCTTTAAAAACTACCATCGTATGAAAAATGTTCGATCTTCAACGTAATAGGAAAAGTTAAAAAATAAAAAGTCAACCCGGGCTCGCGTGGTCGAAATCCAAAATTAAGATCAAATCCCGATTACCCATTCACCCGAGTCTAATTATGTGATTTGTCTTGAGATCCGACTTCAATTTGAGGTCTAAATCCCAATTTTACAAAATTCTTTTTACCCAAAACCTTCAATTTCTACTCTGATCTTAGATTTGGCAATAAAATTCATGCAAAAGTAATAGAATTTCAAAAATAATAAGTTAATATTGCTAACCTATGAATTTGGGAAGAAATTGCTCTCCAAAGATCGCCTAAATGGAGTCTAGGTCTAAACAATAGTGTAAAATGAACTAAGTCCAGTAATCCCAATCTTTTACACGGTTGCAGATATCGCAATTGTGAACTCTTGTTCGTAATTGCGATGCTTGCAAAACTAAACCAATGTTCGCAACCGCGGTCAGTGTCTGAGCCTCCCATATGTCACAAATGAGACTTACGCTTCGCATTTGCAAAGGCCCAGCCCTTCGTAAAAGCGAACCAAGCCTCGCAAATGGGAAACTATTCCTAAGTCTCCCAATGTTGCAATTGCGACCCTTCTCTCGCAATTGCGATACCTGTCCATTCACAAAAGCGGATATGACTTCGCAAAAGCAAAGTGCCCAAGCCCTTCCCAATCTTCGCAAATGCGAGGCTTGCATTTGCGAACATGTCCTCACAAATGCGAGACCTGCAGCCCAGCACACAACAATCCTTCACCTATGAAAAACAGTCTGAAGCCTATCTGAAACTCACCCGAGCCCCTCGTGCTCCAATCCAAATATTCACAAGTATATTAACATCATACAAACTCACTCGCAAGCTCCAATCATCAAAATAATGTCTAAAATAAAGAATCGCTCACCAAAACTCAAGAATTTCAATGTTCAAACTCAATTTTCCAACTTTTCACACAAAGCGTCAAAACAGCCTCGGGTCACCCGGGAGCCCAACCAAACATATGTACAAGTCCAAAATCATCATAGAAATCTACCGGAATTGTCAAAGCACCGATCCGAGGTCATTTACCAAAAATCTTGACCGTGGTCAACTCTAGCCACATTCAAAGTCAAAAATCATATTTTCTTTGAAAATTCGCGTTTAAACTTTTCAGAAAACGATACGGACCATGCACACAAGTCATAAATCATCAAACAAAGTTATGAAAGGTCTCGAAATATAAAAACTTGAGCTAGTACTCTAAACGACCTATCATATTATTATAATCT